CTCTGACTCAAAATAAAGAAGGACAAGACTAGGAATTTATTGAGCCCAGGGTTAACAGTGATGCCTCACTCCTCATGTAAACTCCCAGAACATAATTGATTCTGTGGATATTTGGTGTCTGTTTTCAATATTAGGGGCCAGATGTGACATCCCCATTTTCCAGTGTCCATCCTCTCTGTGTGCATCTGTAGGAGACAGTCTCCATCACTTGCAGATCCAATCAGGGATTAGTGATGATTCACAGTGGCATCACCAGAAACAAGGCGATGCTCCGAAACTCTTGATTTATTGGTCATCCAATTTACACTCTAGGGTGACATCCAGTGGCAATGGATGGGGAAGAGAGTCTACTTTCACTATCAGCAGCCTGCAGTCTGAAGATATTGCAACTTGCTACTGTCAAATGAGTAATCAATAGTTCAACTCCTATGGTGATACAAGACCAAATATAAACCTCCCTGGGGGATGCAAATATGAGAGGCTGGGCTGTGCCAGCTGCCCCTTCTGGTGGCTCGGCCTACTTACAGTGCATCTCAGCCACAGCCAGGCTCTGAAGGTCACTGGGAGATTTGGTAGAGGGGGTCATTGACAACCATCTCAATATTGTCTGTCTGTCTTCCATCAGCCTCAGGAGCACCAACCAGATAATGCTTCTGGTGTCTTATAAAAAACACAGATCTTTACTTCTGAGCCTCTGAAATATGGTATCCAGGTGGATATAATTTGCAGTTTGTCACACAAGAGGCCTTTGCCCGCCTTGTGCTCCCTTTACACTGCTGCACCCACCTGCTAATTTGCATAGTGCTCCCTAAGGAGGACTTTCCCTTTTGAGTCTGAGATGAAGGCTCAGCTTGCCCTTGTCTTGTCCTATCAGGACTCTTAAAAAAGAATTCTTTTAGTAAGCTCCTGGGCTACTAATGCTCTGGCTCACTGGTAAGGACAGAGGGAGAAGAACAATGAAATCATGTAAATTGCAAGGAAATGAAGGAACTAGATCTTCATATTGAGTGACATAGGTCAGGATGCAAAAGCAAAATAGTGTTCGGTCCTACTTACTTGTGGAACCCAGACTTAAATGATGGTAGCGATGATGGTGGTGATGGTGATGATGGCATTGATAATAATAATAATAATAATAAAACATGAATGCCAAAATGGAAAATATCTGAAGGGAGACAGGTAAGGGTGAAAGAAAGGGACAAAAGCACACTAAGTGTAGAAGATGAATTGGTATATAAATAAATAGATATACATGTATATATATATATATATATATACATATATATATATATATATATATATACTCACGTGTGCATTTGAGTTATGAAGTTCCTTTACACAGTATGAAAAATGGTGGGAGTGGGAGAGGAAGAGTATAGCAATAGAAAGGAGGTGGTGATTTTTTCAAAATAAGCTGCATTCAGGTAGGGATTCTCATCACAAACTAACCTCGTGTTGTTAAGATATGACAATTACAATTTATCCAACAATAAAATAATCATGGAATTTCCATGATTATACATATAAAACTCCTGGGAATCCGCACAACTATTAACCAAGAACCGTAAATCTCCTAATGAAAATCTTGTCTACTGCTATGTCATAAAAAGGCCACTAGATGGCAAACAAATCTCACAAAGAAAAACCTGAAACCTAACCTTGTCCATAGGAGCTTGAAGCCAGGGAGTTCATCTCAGGCTTTCTTGGCACACATGGCATGTGGGACCATGTTTACAGAGGGAATTGTGTCTCCCCATGTTCATCTTGTAAACTGTAATCAAAGCTGACAAGGATGATGCACAGGGTTTCTTGTAGTGAAGTAATTAAGGACAGGTCAGAAAGGTGAGGGGAGGAGGGTGGACCCTGCAGATATACAGCCCTGAAGGGAACATGTACACACACCCTGTCCAGCTGTGGGAGGTGAGAGGGGGCTGCAATGTCAGTGCTGTCCCCAGCAGTTCCCAAGAGTCCTCTGCAGTGAACAGGCTACTGATTGTCCTTAAAGGCACAGATGGTGTCCTGAGCTTCATGATGTCAGGCTAGAAATATAACTGCTCATTGTCCTAGCATTCTTTCTCAGTGTCACAATTTAAAATGCTGAGGTAGACAATTAGAATTATATTAATTAATGCTTTAGTTTTATAGGTAATTTACTACATATGAACAATAGATATATAAATTCTACATTCATTTGTGAAGTGCTACTCTCTATTCTGAGAGGAATAGACTTTTTCTTTGGACCCAGGCCTCACTCAGGTCATGGCCCAGACCATTAACACCTTTCTTTCCTGTATGCTCTTTCTTCTTCCAGGAAGATCCTCAGAAATGTTTTCTTATGTCTTCCTTGGTCTTCATCTCTTTCCTTGGTTTTCAGCCTCATCTCTCAGCCTGGTGGCTACATTCCTCACACCTCATGGCAGTGTATGCCTACTGGCAGCTCTGATATGAGCCTAGTATTCCAAGTCTTCCATGTATTTCAGTACCTGAAGTCTGTGCAGATTTCAAATTCACAAGTCCCATGCCACATGTCCACACATGCTGAAGGCAGCCCTGGAGTGTGGATCTGGAGAATGTAATGTGTTATTCCCAGAGCCTGGCTGATTTTAACCACGCTCAAATAGATACATTTCGGGTCAGTCTTCCTCATCCTATTATTATGGCTCCTTGAATTTACCAGATTGCCTTCACAACTATCACAGCCAGAGGCCTTCTCCTGGTTTTCTTTAGTACCAGCTTTGTCCTGCAGTGCAGGTAAGAGACACCAGATCTCTCCCAGCAAGGGCAGTAGGAGTTATTCATGGGACCATGTGATAGAAGTGATATTTCAGAACAGTAAAGGAGGTTGGCATATCTTTTAGGGAAGCTTATAAATCATCATGAAAATTAGGGGAAAAGAGCATTGTAGAAGAATTATGTGAGCATGTGGTGCAGAGAACATTAATATTTAAAAAGATGTAGGTCATCAAATCAAGACTCAGATGAAGTTCTGGTAGTAAATGGTACTGAAGTAAACACTGATTGGGTAATGAGTTACTCATGGTCTATTAGTTTTGAAAGAGCAGTGTTATCTTTACACATCATCTTCTCGGACTGCCAGTGGTAAATACCATGTGATCACCCTGTTCATCTAACACCGGTATGATTGTTTAGATTGTCAAATCTACACAATGGGATGAAGTATGTCCACATGCTAATCTCTATGTGGAGGCCTTCTTCACTACACTTTGGCTTCACTGTGAATCCCCAGGTTAAAGCTGTTCTTTGGTAACTGGGTGGCTCCAGTTTCTCAACTCCACCCTTGACCTCATTGCAATTTGTCATTTCTGTACCTATATGAATCACAGCTCCTAAATACAACTTGTGAAAACTGCTTTATTGGTGGTCATGCATATAATACTAGCTAAAGAGGAGGCTGAGATCTGATGATTAGGGTTGGAAGTCACATTGGACATAAAGACAATGAGTCTCTGTCACCAGTTAAACACCAAAAGGTTGGAAGTGAAGCTGTGACTCATTTGACACACTACCACCATTGAGCACAAAAGCTCAGGGACTAAGTCAAGCACTATGCCTAGTACACAAAAAACTGCTTGACTTAGGACCTAAAAGACATGTAACTTGAAGGACTATGCAGCTTAAGGAGCAAAATGAAGTTAAAGTAGAGTTGAGTCCTCAGTCTACAGAACAACTCAGCTTCTGAGAAAGAAGAGTTTCCATTAACAGATGAAACAAATGACCTCTAAAAGTTCAGAAATATCTGGCACATACATGCATAATACCCACAAAGCTAGATATGATTCCAGGTATTTTCCTAAAACTAAAGAAGAAATACCTGAGGTGAACTGTTCTAGAGGGAGGTGATAGGGAAGAACATTCAGAAGGGAAGCAATCCAGTCATGTATATGAGTTCACAGGACACCAATAAATGCACCAACGGATTGTCCATATACCTCTGATCATGACACTTTATTGTACATATTTCAGAGCTACCTTCCATTAAAAACTTTGAAAACTGTTCATTTCTCTCTTTCTATCAATGCATCTATCTGTCTTTCTACCTACACATATATTATCTCTTTTATAACACATGTCTGTGTACTAATGTTTATTATTAAACCATTTAACAAGGTTCAGGCAAACAATTAAGAATTCTGTATCACAAACTCCACTGATACCAGAGTTAGGGACATTCTAAAATTAATTTCCCTTGGAAATGTTTGTCTTTGAGTGACTGATTTAAATGAAGAAAATCATAGCAAGTCATGGATAAGTTGAAAATGTTAAAAATTCTATTTGGGGTTGGGAATTGAGCTCAGTGGAAGAGTGCTTACCTGGAAAGTGCAAGGTCCTCAGTTCAGTCCTCAGCTCTGGGGGAAAAAAATCTATTCTTATCACAGGCCAACAGAATCATAATGTTTTCTTGTCTCTAGAAACACCTTATCTACAAGCGCATTGGACATCTGGGTTCTTCAGGTGTGTGCTTTGTCACGGAGATCTGCCAGCTGAAGCTCTGACTCCCATTCCCCAAGCCATGTTGATTTGCATGTGCCTCGAGCACAGCCCACTACACTGGGAACTTCTTCATAGGCTGCTCACACTCTGTGCAGGAGAAGTTCCAGTCAGCAAACAGCATGGACATGAGGGCCTTTGCTCAGCTCCTGGGGCTCCTGCTGCTCTGGGTTGCAGGTAAGGAAAGATGATACTGGGGATTATTCACTGAGTGTTCAGCGGAGCTACTTGGCTGTTCATGGAAGTACTTGGACAACAGAATTAATTAAACTGCTAATGGCTTTTATGTTTCCAATGTCAGGTGCCAGATGTGACATCCAGTTGACCCAGCCAACATCCCTGTCATCACCTCTGGGAGACAGAGTCAAGATTACTTGCCGAGCCAGTCAGGGCATTAGCAATTATTTACATTGGTACCAGCAGAGAGCAGGGAAAGCTCCAAAGCTTCTGATCAGTTATGCAACTACTTTGCAATCTGGAATTCCATCAAGGTTCAGTGGCAGTGGATCTGGGACAGAGTTCACTCTCGCCATCAGCAACCTGCAGCCTGAAGATGCCGCAACATATTTCTGTCTACAGAGTGATAGTTATCCCCCCACAGTGACACAAGTCATAACAAAAACCTCCCAGAGAAGCAGAAGTGAGAGGCTGGGCTGCCCCAGCTTCTCTTCTACCTGCACAACTGCCTCTACTCTACACAACTTCTCAGACAGACGCAAACTTTAAAGTTACTGGAAAGTATTGGGAGAGATGTCATGGAGGCATTTGCACACCCTAACTCTCTGCCTTCCTGCTCATCCCAAGCAGCACACACCTTACAACGACTCTTCTGACTTTAAAAATCAGTTATCTATACTCATGTTTCACTTACATTGTGCTAACAATTTGCAGCCACAAAAATAAAGAGCTATTTTATGTATATCAAACCAGGTTTTAAAAGCAAGGCAATAGAGCTTTAGAAAAGATTTTGTTTTTAGATTATGAAAAAAAATCATCATTAAGTATTGAAACATAAAGCAGATTTCTTGATTAAAATGGGAAATTTCTAGTTCATTGAGTGACACATCCATTAGTTATTATATCTATATCTATATATACAGATATATATGTGTTATGTGTGTATAAATGCATATATATATAAACAACCAGTAGCAATACATAAAATAGCAAGTTTACGCAATCCCTGTAACAGCCATGGTCTGATTTGTAACATATTTTATTCAGCTGCCATGGGCTCTCAGAATGCAGAGCAGAGCATATCTTCTGAGACCCCACTCAGCTGAGCCTACAGCCCACAAAACTCTCCCCTTGCAGGCTTTTGTTGTTTGCTCTACTTAAGAAGCATTTTTTGTTTTGTTTTGTCTTGTTTTTGGTTGGTCGTGGGGCTTGAACTCTGGTCCTGGGTGCTGTCCTTCAGCTCTTCAGCTCAAGGCGAGCACTCTACCACTTGAGCTACAATGCCACTTCCAGTTTTTAACTGGGTTTTAAATATAGAAAATTCTAGATGAAATAGTCTCATCTGCTTCTACTCAGGTGAGGCCTGTTCTGTTTGTCAACTAATATGCTGTATTAATGTAAAGAGAACAAGTAGTAGCTGGGCACTGGTGGCTCACGCCTGTAATCCTAGCCACTCAGGAAGCTGAGATCTGAGGATCAAGGTTCCCAACCAGCCCGGGCAGGAAAGACCTTAAGAGTCTTACCTCCAATAAACCACATGAAAACTGGAAGTGACACTGTAGTTCAAGTGCTAGAGCATTCTCCCTGAGCTGAAGAGATAAGGGACAGTGCCCAGGCCCAGAGTTCAAGCCCCACGACCAAACAAAATAAATAAATAAATAAAAATAAAAACAAGCTGCAGTTAGAAGGGTCCAAATATATGGTTTATAACAAGCAACTTCTGTGAAAACTGACTCACTCCATGAGAGGAGATATAGCCCTTCTGAGAACAGGAACTCCAATGATCTAATCACTTCCTACAAGGAGGCCCTTCAGATGACCATGTGGGGTCTTCTGGAGCATCAGCACCAACTTCCTTCTCCACCTGTTCCTCCTTAACATGTGATATTCTGCCACATGACAGAGTAGAATCCTTGGAGACAAGAAGTAGGGACTGAACTCTCTGTGACAAATAAGCAGAGACTGGTTAATTCAGATTGGGAATGGAGACATTAAAAGATTTTATGTTAATTTAAGATAACCAGAATTATATACCTACATTTGTCTTTACATAGTTTAAAAAAGGGTTAAAAAACCTAACAGTATAGAAGTGGAATATATCTTGATCACTTTCTCCCTTTACTCTCTAGAGGGAAGATTTAAGAAATTCTGTGAGCAATTTGTTGTGCAAATACAGTGTGCAAGATTACTCATTACATTGAATATATAGTCACACTTTGAAGTAAAACTTTATAACATTTTTCTTTTATCCTTTTTAATTTCATTCTGTTGTAAAGGTACTGTACAGAAGGGAAACAGTTACATAAGTAGGGTAATGAGAACATTTCTTGTCAAATATTGTTATTCATTCTTTCATCTCCTACTATCTCTCCAACCAACCCACCCACCCCGAAGTTATAAAGTTCATTTCCAGCATAGTGTCCTGTGAGTATCACTGTTGCATTGGTCACCCTTTGTCCTTGTTTCACCATTTTGTTATTCTCCTTCTCTTCTCAAGTCATATAAACGTGTATAAAAGATGCATGGTTCCAGAATATAAACAGTGACTACAGGGGATAAGCCAAAGGGAAATTTAAAAAATATATAATAAAAAGAAGGAACTTGATACAGTCTGTAGACCGCAATAAAGACAACAAAAAAGACATCTTGTTTCTATATCTTGAAGTTCATTTGGTTTAGCATTATTTTATATGGTGGTATGTATGTAGCTATTGATCTATTGTGATCCTCTGCAAGGACAATACTAGACATATACTAATTATTACAAATGAAAGAAATTATGGAGCCTATGTTTCTTTGGGGCTGCTTATTTCACTTAATATAGTTTATCCTAAGTCTTTACATTTTCTTGCAAAGGAATTTCTAGGGCTCCTTTACCCAGGTGAAAACTTTCTAAATAAAGATCCAGAAACACAACGAATCAAATGGATGGATAAATGGTATCATATTAAGCTGCAGAGCTTCTGCATGGCAAACACCATAGCCAGGAAGATAAATAGAAATCTCACAGATTGGGAGAAGATATTCACTAGCTATACAACAGACAAGGCCTCATATAAAAAATATACCTAACGCTCAATAAACACCCCTCCAAAAAAATCCTCAAAGAAAAATCAGCCCAGTAATCATTGGGTAAAGAATTAAGAGTCTATTTTGGAGAGCAAATAAGAATGGCCAATAGACACCTGAAGAAATGTTCAACATCTCTGGTCATAAGAGAGATGAAATTCACTACCACATTGAGATTCCACCTCACCCCATTTACAATGGCCATTATTAAGAAAACAAATAATAATAGATGTTGGCAGGGATGAGGCCAGATACTACTCTGATGGTGGGAACATAACGTGATTCAACCACTATGGAAAGCAGTATGGAGGTTCCTCAAAAGATTAAAAATAGAACTCCCTACAATACAGCAATCCCACTTCTGGGTATTTACTCATGTGACCACAAACAAGGCCACATTAACGTTACCAGCACAACTGTATTCCTTGCAACACTATTCACCATAGCTAAGATATGGAACCAACACTGATGCCCCTCAATAGATGAATGGATCAAGAAAATGTGATATATATATATATATATATATATATATACATACATCTGTATACATCTATATCTATCTATCTATCTATCTATTTATCTATCTATCTATACTGGAATTATATGCTTCTGTCAGAAAGAGGGCATTGTCCTTTAATCTTATAAATAAATGCATTTAGATCACTACTAATAGCAGAAAATTTTGTTCTTCCTATCAATTCTTTATGTTAAATTTCCTTTGGAAACAGAAGTTCTAACACTTGTAGCTCAGATTCCTGAACATATAACTTAGTAACTATGGGCATAAGATGCCACTTTATATAGCTAAACTATTCATCTCCCTTGAGGATCCTTGCTGCTGCTGGTGAGTACAGTGTTTTTCTCTAGCCCTTCTGCTCGAGTTTAAGGCGAGCCGGGAATTGTGCTCATTCCCTTCCTACAGACTCTCCTTGACATGAACGTGCATACCTTTGGTCTCTGATGATGTTTTAGGGTGTCAGAGCCATGTACACCCTATCTTCCTTCACAGTGGGGCCTTTCTTCCCAGTGCTGCAGGAATCAAGGATTTTATTGGTTGTCACCAAACACAGAGCATATTTGGTATCACTTTTCTCCTAAGAGCAGGCTTTACCTTCCCCTTGGTTCTTCCTATGCTGTTGCACCCACCTGGAGATTTGCATATTGCTCCCTAAGGAGGACTTGCCTTGACCTGTCAACACTCCTCATTTAACTCTTAAAAATGAAGTCCTTCTATCCACTCCTGGGGCTGTTAATGCTCTGGATCCCTGGTAAGGGCAAAGGGAGATAAGGAATGAAAGTGGGTGAAAAGGTGAGATCTAAGGGTCCAGTTGTGCCCTATCTGTGAAGATCCTGTTATCCATGTTGGGAAAGTGATAGTTAGGTGTGAGAGAGTGAAGAACATTCCAGAAAGAGCTAAAACTGTGCTTGGGTGAAGATTGCTAGATGAAAATATAGTCAGTGACTCCTAGAGACCTCTTTATATTTTAGAAATATCTTTATAATCTTTTATATTTTTAGATTAGTAATCATTATGAAATACGAAAACAGGCAATATATCAAAATTCAACTAATATCAACATGTCTATGCTTGTGAATAACCTTGCACTTCTGTCTTATTCTAATTTCAGGATCAAGTGGAGATGTGATAAACCAGACTCCAGTCTCCCTGCCTGTCACGCTGGGAGATCCAGCCTCCATCGCCAACAGGTCTAGTCAGAGTCTCCTGCATAGCGATGGAGACACTTATCTGAATTTTTACCTGCAGAAGCCAGGCCGGTCTCCACAACTCCTGATATACACAATTTCTAACTGATTTTCTGTGGTTCCCGACAGATTCACTGGCTGTGGGTCAAGCACAGATTTAACACTGACATCAGCAAGGTAGAGCCTGGGGATGTTGGAGTTTATCACTGCTTCAAGATACACATAAGCCTCCCAAAGTGATACATTCCTGAACTAAAACTTCCTTTTAGGCTGTGTGAGCTATCCTTAGGGTTTACTGGTCTGGGGAACTGCAGAGCAGACCATCTGAGTTTGTCTAGGAGGAAGATATTTTTTTTGGGGGGTTCCGGTCATGGGGCCTGAACTCTGGGCCTGGGCGCTGTCCCTCAACTCTTCAGCTCAAGGCTATCGCTCTATCACTTGAGCCATAGCGCCACTTCCGGCTTTTTTCTTTTTGCTTATGTGGTGCTGAGGAATCCAACCCAGGGCCTCATACATGCAAGGCAAGCGCTCTACAACTGAGTCACCTTCCCAGCCCAAGAGGAAGATATTTTGATCAATGTAACTATGAGTGCAGATGAGGTTTGAGTGACAATATGACTTCATTCAATCTACAATCATGGAACAGTAGAAAAATCATAGTAGCACAGAGGCCAGGAGACTTCAGATAAACCATGAAGTATTTATTGAACAAATTCTTTGTGTCTTAAGTAATATTATAGCTAACAGGTAATATAAGAATGAAATGTCTGGGCTGGGAGGGTGGCTCAGTGGTAGAGCACTTGCCTTGCGTTCCTGAGGCCCTAAATTCGATTCCTCAGCACCACATATACAAAAAGAAAAAAGCCAGAAGTGGCATTGTGGCTCAAGTGGTAGAGCACTAGCCTTGAGCTAAAGAGCTGAGGGACAGCACCCAGGCCCAGAGTTCAGGCCCTACGACCGGAACACACACCCCCCCCCCAAAAAAAAAGAATGAAATGTCTTTTGTGATTTTATTCCATTTATAATGAAACTTGAAATACTTCCATCAAGCACATGGTCCTGGCTCACAACTATAGCAAATGCTGTGCTTTCTGTTCACCAGCTGGAAGTATAGTTGTCCATTTCTTGCCTCTGCTCTATGTGTTCCCGAAATGCTGCTTTACCTTCAAGTCCTAAGCAGAGTTTGGTCAATGTCCTTTGGTTAGATTAACCTTTCCCCAGTTACAGTACTGCACTCTGTAAACTAGTGTCTCACCTTCTTTGCCCTAGGCCCTGGCTCTATTTAAGACTGTCGAGTGTGATCAAGCCCTGTAATGGTGTCCATAGGGCCCAAAAGTGCAAGACTAAGCCTTGTTCAACAGGCACAGCATTCATAGCTCTATCTGGCCAGCATTAGTGAATTGATTTGAAAAATCATGGCATGACACCATCATTAATAGCTTAATTTTATTTTACATCCATCTCTATAATCCTTAATTTTAAACAATGTACTCCCTAGCATTTGGGTGATATTCTGACTTATGCCAGCATCTAGTGTGTATTTGCATCTAATGGTGTAAACTGTTTCACCATGATTTTCTCAAATCCATCTGGGAAACTAACGATTGGAGTTTGAGATGCTCTGAGCTCCAGATTTATCATTCATTGGTAAATTATATGACTAGAATGTATATTAACAAAAGGGATACCTTTGTTTCACTTATGAACAGTTATTGTAAAGTTTATCCTCATTTGTAGCATTCTGTAGAATGCTAGTCAGAACTACCTTAGAGTGTATTATCAGTTCTCTCCTCTGTCCTGGCAAGCATCTTACCCACATACAGAAAGGCACCCTTCTGATTTCTAATTGTCACTGAGTCTCCTCACTGTGTAAGTTTGTGGGTCACCAGACAAGAAAAAGTAAATGATCCCTGAGCTTCCAGCGTGGTGCTGACGCTGGGTGACTGATAGTCAGCTGTCATCACTACTCTCAGCTCAGAAACAGTTGATTGAAGGGGCGGAGCTTACTTGGAAGTATTTCCAGATACTTTTATTGGTACTAAGATTAGTGCAACAAATCTTCATTGTAATTTGGTAAATAAAAAGAAGACATTACATTAAGCATTCTCAACATTTGACAAATAGTGGAAAATCTCTCTTGAAAAGCACATACACAGGCAAACACACATACTGAATATAACCATATAACACTCATTTACCTGAATGTATATGAATATACATTCTTCTTCCTTTTATTCCTAAAATGAGACATATGCTCATCATTGCTTAGCAATTGTTACAAATGCAGAATAGCTGATCTACTCTGCATTTTATCAAAGTAACACTTGTCCTGAAATGTTTTCAAATTCATGATTTAGAAGGACTTACCTTGGCAAATGAGATCTCTTATGAAAAGTTGTTGGCAAAACACCAACATTTTGTGTAAGTAATAAAAACTAATTTTTCTTCTTGTTTGTTGAAGTTTAAGTTCATAATTATTTTTTATTTGCAAGATCCAATACCTTGAAAGTCTAATGGTGTGATTGGTTCTCATTAACTTGATGAACTATTAAGAAATACTAATTTCAAATGTGTATTTCTGTTCTGGAGATACATGGACATAAATGTGTTTCTATATCTTGACCTCAAGATAATGTTCATGATCTTAAGTGTTCAATGTCCCTTTGGTGTCTGTTCCAGATCAAACAAATCCACACAATGGAGACAAGTCCAGTGACCTGCAACAGAACTCTTCAGTTGAGCCCAGCCTGCATTGGGCAAATCATTGTAATGGCGAACTTCTCTATGACCAAAGATTCATGTTTTGTGTTAGGATCCCCTGGGTTTGGATTTTTTTACACACGATAATTTTTGAAACACTGACTGATTTCATGTCAAATATGCACACAGAGAGATGAATTTTTATCAAAACTGACTACATAACTAAACTATTTAGAAAAATTATAAAGAGAATACAGGGACAATATGATCATGTGAATTAATGAATTAGAGAGACATCTTCCAACGAACCTTCTATCAGGAGCAGTTAATTTGCAAAAGATCCACCAACATCAATAAATATCAGAGGAATTATAAAAGGACTTAGATATAACATGTGAAAGTACTAATGATAAGAAGTTTACAACAATGTACACATTAACAACAAATTGTATATTTGTACATATAAACTTGTATAAAGAGCTCAGTTGCCTGCAGCCCTCAACCTTGTCCTCTACCCTCTGAGAGATGGATAGGACTCTGTCATTCTACAGCTTTAAATCCTAAATAAGGCTCTTATTCACCATATGGATAGGGATCTCGAGAGGGAAGGAGTTCTGGAAAATGCACTTCCTGCAGAGACTGTGTAATGAAGTTCAGAGCTGACTACCCAGTGTGGTCTTATGGCCCAACTCTCAGGATTTGATCAGGAGAGCATTGCCCAAGAACATTTCCGTATTGCATCTAAGTGTCATCAGAAGGTTGCAATAAAAGCAACAACGTTTCATAAAGTCACACATCAATGAAAATAAAGTTTTTATATTATATATATGTGAGTCTCTTTCAAACTAAATTCTCGCTTAACAAAATAAAAAGAAAATTCAACTAAATATGAAAATAATATTTCCTTTCTTATTCAGTTTTCCAGAATTCGACAATATCATCAACAACACTGAAAACATGTTGCAAATACAAAATTAGAAACCACTTAGATCTATGAAACATGAATCTTCATTTCAGCATGTTGGCAGGTGATCTTTATTAGGTTTAAGAAGCCATGTTTAACCTAGGAGCTGGTGGCTCACAACTGTCATTTTATCTACTCAGGAGCCTGAGGTCTGAGGATTATGGTTCAAAACCAGCCAAGGTAGGGAAATATATTAAGCTACTTATCTCCAATTAACCACCAAAAATCTGGAAGAAGAGCTGTGATTGAAGGTGGCAAAGCACTAGCATTGAGCTAACAGAGTTTAAGGACACTGCCCACACCCTGAGTTCCAGCCTGAAGACCTGCACAAACAAGCAAACAGACAGAAACAAAAGAAAACCAGCTGTGTTTAGAGGATGAATATCAAGGTTGAGAGATTCTCTTTACTTCTCTATTAGCCCCTATTAAGAACATATCTAGTTAATCCACATGTTAAAAACACACATGTGCATATACACACATGACTGTGCACATATATACATGCACATGTACGTACATATACTCACATACACAGTCCATTTCCAGTTGCTATAACCAAGTAAGTCATTTTGAATAGTTTGATGCATAGACTTATTCATTCAGAGAATGGTAATCAGTTTTTTCTTAGTTGACGTAAGTGAAAAAAATGCCACAACCCTTACAAACTACACTAAAAAAGAATAATATCTTTATGAAAAAATAAAATATTTACTCCAATTTGACACCTTCATCATCATTTGTTGTTCTTTACAGAGATCATTGCACTGAATTCAACATTCAAAGCCAATGTAATTTTTACTCTTATCTCTTGTAAAGTGATTAAAGCATCATATAGAGCTAAATTTTCCAAAAGACATTTCAAACTTAGCTTTCTTACAAAACCAAATCTAGAAATGGATTTGTTTTATGGATGTTTTAATAAATAAAGTACTGGGTTTAATTTGGGCTTATTACCCAAGACTGCATTTTATTACTTGGTTTTGGGTTAAATTATATAAAACTATATTTTCTTACTATTTATTTATTTATAACTGCTGGGTTGAACATGGAGCCTTATACCAGCTTGGCTAGTCCTCTATCCCTGAGAAATTCCTCCAGCATTCTTTGATGGTAGTTATTGTGAGCCTTTGTGACAATGTACTGATCTTCAACCCAGATTCTTCAGATCTCAACCTCCAAAGTAGCTTGGCATACAAGCCTGATCTTTGCTTCCAGCATCAATCTGTAAATCCCTTTCCTCCAGCTTTTGTTTGCTGTCCTGACCATGTTTCAGAAGTGAAGGGATGTAGGCAAAAATGGTTCCAAAAGCTGGTTGATCTGGACTCAAAGGTACTATCACTCTTCAGAAAATACTTGCACCTGAAGAAGTTAATTGTAAGCAGGATTCTGAGTAGCCAGGTTTGGTCCCAAGGATACTCTGCAAGCGATCAGATGGTGTGAAAGAA